GTTAGGCTAAAAAAGAAGCTGAAATGGAAACCAGGTTGTGTGTGAAGGAATGGAGGGGCTTATGTGATTTACTTTTCAGGGTGGAATTGAAGTGAGGTGGTTTTGGGGGATTATGTGGAGAGCTAAGTGAACTCTGTAGGTGGGGGATGCAGCTTTCAAAGGGGTATCGATAGATCTGTTGTTGTGCCCACTTCACAGTCCTCATCAACCCCACTTGCAAACATACCACACCTCTTCACAAGCTGAAGAAGTCCGTCCATTCATGGTGCACTCACACACATAAGCTGATGAACTCTGAGATGGTCAGAGTACTCTCGGCTCTCTGCCTACTGAATAAAAGAGTTTAGACATTGCTGAATTGGCCCTTCATAAAGGGGTATTCTCTTTTAAGTACACAACTTCTTTTTGCTCTCCTAAACCCATGCATAGTCAAGGATCTGGGCTTCTTTCTTTGGTTTGGTGTGGTACTAGTATGCACTGTAGGTTGGTAAAATTGAAAGCACCAGCATTAAAATAACTAAATGTAAGTTGTAAATTGTAATAAAAAAGAACGTTTAATCTTCAACATGGGGTTAAAGTTTTCTATAGAAGAAAGTGAAGAACATAAAGAAAAGTGCAAAAGAAAATAAAAGAATGAAAAAGTTTTTTCTTAGAAACATTAGTTTACCATCTAACTGACTGACAAGAATTTTTGTGAAATGTCAGCTCTCTGCTTTTACTAAGGTCTCTAAGCTCCACATAGCAGACATTAGCATAACCACAAGGCCCATCCCATTTCTACAGGATTAGTTCAGCTCTCCTCCCACTGTCTGATGGCTCTTTATGTAGATCGACACAGCCTGTTAGAGGTCCTCGCTATACCATTACTACTAGAGTCATTATCATTCACCACGAGAAGGAATCAGCTTATGTAGACTTGCCTATTTAGCATGAGACTGACATCTCATTTGTAATGGTTTAATAGGGGCTCTCTTTCGGAAACAGAGTAACTGATGAATTCCCAGCTGATCCATCTTTGTGGAAAAGACTGCTCTGGCATTTGATATTAGTATATAATTTTTAAACTGCATGAAAATGTTGAATTAAAATACTTGTATACATCTCTTCTGATAACAAAACATCCCTCTATCTTTTTCTAAAAATGCTTTAAAGTGGTCATCAATTAACACAGTTCATATCAATTCTAGTTATATTACACCATTTCACAACACAAATCATATGAAAATCATTTATTCATCATTACCAACTCATTGAATATAACAGATTTTGGTTGTTAATCCAAGTGTTTTATTTAAAGCAAAAGCAAAACCAGACTCTTAAAATAACAGCCCAAACAAGTTTTAGTGGGATAGCTCATGATGAATCCTTATAAACGCATGCAGATATCATTCTGCCTCATATTTTATTATAATCCATCAAAAATCATTTTTGAAGTATGAATATGATAAGTTTTTAAGAGAATAACAACATCACACATATACATTGCAGAAATGTAAATTTTAAATGCTTATTGAAATTAAGATATACATTTATCAACTCTTCTAAGGTAAAACAAATGTGTTTATTTATAGTGTGGTGTAAAAACATAAAGAGTACTACAGTGTATTTCTTCAGGAATTAGCTAAGTGAAATACAAAATAAGGAGACTGACACTGTCTGTCTCCTTATGTATAATTATTGTTATATATTATTATGATAAAGGCATAATTTTGTGCTTCTGTCTGAAAAGGGGTATGAAAAAGTAAAACATATTTAATCATCATACCTCTTTACCTACTTATTGTCTGTAACATCAACAATCTTAGTAGTCCATACTACTCCTCAAATTCATTAAGTGAGCAAATTAATTAGTTTATTTATATATGAGCATGTACACATTCATATGTGGCTACATAAATCTTCCTTCACTCAATTATTACCTATAGCTCACACAACCATAGCAATGCACAAATATGTGTACAACCATCTACAGTGATGAAGAGTACCGGTTGATGTGCACCACTGATCTTTCACACACATCTTTTTAAGAAAACCACTTTCAGCCTTTTAGTCTCATTTTTGAAAATTACTTTGATTCACTGCAGATTTTTATTACAGTACATACTTAGACACAGTTTATTGAAATACTCTTTTTGTTCAAACATGTAAGAATTTTGAGAATTACCTCCCCCTCTCTGAACAAAATCTTTTTGGTTTCTGTCTGGTATTTCTTGCTGCAAATATTGTGAAGTCTGAAATTCTATCACATCAGAGAATTTAGGGAAGCAGGAATGAACAAATGAATGAATGAACAAATGAGTGAATGAATAAATAAATAGTGGACATAGAGGTTTGAGAGGTGTTCTGTAGGTGTTATCCTAGATTTATTCACAAATTTACATAGCTCAGGTATGGCCAAATTGGTGAACAGTAGAGAATGTGTTGCTTTTCTGAGAACTGCAATGCTTCACATAATTTAGTGTAAATGTTTTGATGTGAGACCTTGCAGTCAATAATTACACCTAAAATGTGAATTTCATTTATTCATTCCACCTGTACCCAATCAGTTTTGACTTTAACATCTATATTTCCTTTATAATTTCCAAATTACATGAGCATCATTTTCTTTCCAGGATTTTTTTTTTTAAACAGTATTTTTTTTTTTTTTAGGTTTTTCATCTCTATTGTAATCCTCCAGGAGCTGTTGTGAGTAATAATCTCTACAGAAAATATCTGTGTCATCTGCAAACAAAACAAACTTGAATACTTGTGAAATTTTACATATGTCAATAGTATCAGTCTCAGTACTGACACCTGGGGCACACAACCAACATGAAGACTGATATTCACAAATTTTTACATATTGCTGCATGCTGTTTAAATGCTGCTTAAATAGTCATCCACCCCAAAGCCGACCACTGTGCAGGATAATATTCTATTTCCTGATTAAGATCATGTGAGCTACCCTGTAAAATATTGTTTCAACAAACAGACCAATTGCAAACATCCTTGTCTCAATGGAGCTGCTAACTTTTTTTTCTTTTAATCTTTGGAAACTTTGGAAGTAAGGAAATAATACATATATATATATATATATATATATATATATATA